GATTGGTGGGATTTCAATTCCAGAGCTTGGTGGGATTCTATGGTCAGACTCTGGGCCAAGCTCAGGGATTGGTTGGATTTTGTGCTTAGGGATTGGTGAGATTTTGTGGCCAGAGCTTGGTTAGGGGCAGGGTGTTTTTCCTTGGCTCTGGTCTCAGGGCCAGGGTGTTCTTTCACTGGCCCTTTTTATCTTACACCCCTGTGTTTTTAAATTTGCCCCCTTAATCCTACTATGGCCAGTTCATCCTGACATGAACTCTATTTCCACCCAGGATCCATTATTACCTGCTTCTGTTTCCGTACACTTTCCTTGGGAGGTCAGTCAGTCTGCTGCCTGGAGACATTTGTAGGAGTGTGGAAGGCAAAACCTGACAAATTGTACTAAGGTTTTATGACTGCACTCTTTTTTCACAGCTGTTTCAAAGAATGTTTATAGTTTTCATTCCCTGAAGGCAGAGAGACTTGTTTATGTGTATACGCTCCTCGTTGCTTGTCATCACATGGGAAAGGAGGTTTGGAGGCAGGGAACTAAGGTGCCTCTATTATATCCAGCTACCCGGAAAGCTAATATAAAGAGGCAGAGGCTCTGAGCCCTCCCCCAGGGGCGTTAATAACCTCGAACAGTACTTACCAAACTCTCCCTTGACTTCAGAGTTCTTAGATTACGTTAGAAGATTGGGATTGGTGGAGTGACATGAAGATGAAAGACAGTAGGCAGATGTTGACAGAGGCAGATGTGTTCTTTAATCCTAAAAACTGAAGGGACACGGTGCCTCTGCAGAAGGAACACTGTGCTCACGTGATGTGGGGAGTTTGGGGTTTCATAGGATGGGAAAGGGGGACGTTTGGGGACGGAAGAGTCCCGCCTGCGGGTCAGCTCCCATGCAGTCAGGGCGTGGCAGATACCAGCAGGTTTAATATGTGCATCTCCTGACCAGAGGCTTCCATGAGTTTTATCAGTCAAGGTAACTTTCCTTCCAGAGCTTCTCAGGCACCTCAGGCTTTAGGTCAGAAACCCTTCAGATTATATTGAATACTTAAATTTCTAGTTGATTTTTTTTAAAAAAAAAACTATGTATGGATATTTTGTCTGCATGTGTGTCTGTATGCCTCTTGTGTGCCTGGCACCTGCAGAGGCCAGACAAGGGTATCAGGTCTCCTGGAAGTGGAATTACTGATGGTTGTGATTGGCTGTGTAGGTGCTGGGAATTGAGCCTAAGTCCTTTGGAAGAACAGCAAGTTCTCTTGTGCCCCCCACCCACCCCTCAAAACAGGGTTTCTCCGTGTAGCCCTAGCTGTCCTAGAACTTGTTCTGTAGACCAGGCCGGCCTCGAACTCACAGAGATCTGCCTGACTCTGTCTCCCAAGGGCTGGTGTTTATCACCACCACCCAGCAGCAGCAAGCATTCTTACCTGCTGATCCTAGCATCCATGTTGGGCAGCTCACAACTCCAGTTCCTGAAGGACCTGACACTTCTGGCCTCTAAGGGCACCCACGTTCATATGCACATACCCACATTCAAACATACATTAATTAGAAGAATAAATCCTTTAAAAATAAAAAAAACCTTTCTATTTAAATAATTGTAGAGTCTAATAACAGTATTTACGAAGTCCTACAATGTCATGTGGAGGGCAGATGTGTTCAGTTTCTCTGCTGGGCCTTAACAGATGTCTTGTTGCTACTGATACCTTTGGCTCTGCTGTAATTGACTCGCTTGCCATCCCTCCTCCACTTTAGATGGCTGTCATGTGGTTTGGCCTGGAGCAGTCTCTGTCCTCACTCTATCCCGCCTCACCCCTTCCTCAGCCCACAGTTCCCAATTATATCGATACTGCAGTCGATTCCCAAATGTGACCGCGCAGCTCAGCTTTTGGGTTCAGATTGATGTCTGAATTCCTTGTGGGTTGCTTCAGCTTGTTTTCATAAGCCGTGCGGTTTCTGCTAATCTCATCGGCAGAGCGGGGCATGTGGAAAGGGTGAATAAGAGAACCACATCCTGGAGCGCGTCGTCACATATCTGTGCAGCAGGAGCAGAGACCCTCTGCAGCAAATCCAGATGCGAGCTCGTGTTTTCAGTCAGAGCCCAGGGGCTCTGCAGAGCTAATATCATATTGCTATTTCAGAACAGGATCCTCTGAGCCTCATCCCAGAAGTCTGTTTGCCACAGACTCACACCAGCGGCCGTCAGGCACAGGCCATGCTTGTCGATTACCATCTGAACCGAGGGACCCATTGCTCAGACCTCCTATGTGCGGCGTTCTTTGTAATCAGATGCACAGGTCCCAGTGCCAACCAGGGCTGGGCATGGGCTGCCGTGAAAGGGATTTAACAGGACCTGTGGTGAAATCTGATTGGTTAACTTATGCGACATCACAAACTACCCCCAAACACTTGAGGATCTAAAACAAGAGAGACCTCTTTAGCTTTTATTCTGTGTGCTAACACTTTCAGGTAGGCCAGCTACTTTTCTGGGTGGTTCTCTTGGTTGCTGTTGGGCTGTGTCTGTGGTCTGTTGTGGGCTGGCTCGCTTTCAGTCACCACTCACCAGCAGTAGAGACAGAGAAACATGCTGGCTCAGTGTAATCCCAGAACGAGGTAAATTGAAGTTGGGCCTGCAGCTTGTTAGGATGGTGGTGCAGAAATTCAATGGGATGGCTCTCATCAGCCTGCTGGCTGCATCACTGACTGCCACCCAGCCAGTGCCCAGTGATGTAATCATGGTTCCGAGATCCCTGGGAGAGTACTTCCAAATCCTGATGGGATGCAGATAATGGAACAATGGAAGTAAGTTCCCAGGGATCCAGAGTGACCTTCTCCAGCTGGAATGTCTATTTCCTCAGGAGGTAGTGAATTTCCCACTACTAGCAATATCCAGACAGCACTAGAGAGTCTATAACTAACCCAGGTTCTACTTTAAAGAGGGACGGCTTGACAGACAATGATGCCAAAAGTTCATGGGCCTCCAGCCCTCAAAAAACAAAATGGTGCTGATGGGCTGGGCCACCAAGACATACCTCAAACATCCTGTGATGTCACTCTCTTTCTCCTCACTAAAAACAGCACAGGGGTTCAGGGCAGAGCGCTCCTGCTTCTAGAAACTCTGCCTCCTAAGCTAGCCTATGTCCTAAGTTTGGTTACAGCCTCTCTTCCCATCTCACCAAGTACTCTGTGTCCCTTTTCACCAGACTTGGACTGCTCTCTGCCCCAGTTACATGGACCCACTCAGTCCTTGTCCACTTCCGACCCTATCAGCTGGGACTTGCCTCAGCTCTGGCCCCTGTTCACAGTTCTCTTGTTTCAGCAATCTTCTCGCTTGATCTAACCAACGGCAGGCCTAGGCTTCCTTTTTATAACCTCCTCAACATCCCAGACAGAGACAAGCTATGGAGAAGAGGGGACATGTTTGTAAACAGAGAAGTCTGGGAAGCAACTTGGTGTCCACTACAGTTGGGAAACATTCTTCTGTGGGCATGGGAAAGTCTTGTTAGATTACTGCTAAGTTTTTTCAAAGGGAGTTTCGAAAACCCAATTTTGTCTTTTGTGGGTTTTCTGCTTATAAATGTGTTTATACTGAGAGTGTAGGTTTTTGGTAGATATGTTGCCTACATTCATGAGGCCCTGGGAGAAGTAGGTATATACATAGAAATCTCCTCAGATGTCTGTAGACCGCCTCGGCGGGTTACTCAGTCTAGGGGTTGTAACCCGCCTGGCAGTTTAGTAATTCCAGGGTCCCGGAGAGGCGCTATCTGGAAGATATGGGCGAGAGAGAGGAAGATGCCATGCTAGGTTTGTCAGAGCCTCCATTTATTAGAGATGGGGTACAGCTTATATAGGATGAGGAGTTTGGCTTGGGATGGGGGCAGGGGCGTGGACTCTTGCCACGTGGTCCACGGTCCAGGAGGTTATGAAAGGTCAGGTCACGATTCCTCGGCCAGGAAGTCACAAGTTGACACACCTAGTTCTCTAGATAATTGGAGTGTGGGGCGGGTTCTGCTAACAGATAGCTCTCTATTAACAGATAATTGGGTGTGGGGTAGGCTTTGTCAATAGAACAGTTCTCAATACAATAGTTCTCAATAATCGGGGGTGTGGGGTTCTCTGCAGACTCCCCAGGGCGATGGTTCCTGTAATAATTTTGGGGGAAAATGGCTCCTGACATATCCCCCTTCCTTTTTTTGGGGGGGGGGGGAACGGCTCCTGACAGATGTCATCTGGGGTTTCCCTGTCCCTTAGACTCAAACTCAAATCTACATAAGCAGCAGATCTGTGAAGTCTATCTGAGATCATGCAGCCCCAAGGGCTCTCCCTCTCTGGCCTCCTGTGCCTTCAGCCTTTTGCTTCTCTTTGCTCTATTTATCAGCGTGAGCCAAGTTTAGCTGCTGCTTCCAGTTCATCCCCAATCACTCCTACCAAGACCTATTAAAGCAAGACAGAGTGAGTATGTGTGTAGGAGGGTGGGGGGCAACATCAGGAAGCCTCTCCCCACTGGTGCAGATCCCCATAACCGGCCTGTGTAGTGGAACTATCCTGAGTGCTCCTGATGTGAGCTGATTGGTAGAAATGTCACAGTCGTGCGGAGCTAGCCTTGGAGCAGCTAGTCCAGGCTGGCTACATGTCCCAGCAGGAGTGAATATGTCAATGTTGCCTCTGATCAGAGTCCTGGGAGCAGGAGGTCCTACATTGTCCACGCTCTAAAGTTCTGTGGGAATGAACTGTTTATGTCCAAATTTCTCAGAGGCCTGAGAAACGGAGAAAGGGAAAGGTACAAGACCCACAAGGGAGGGTGTGAAGGAAGAGCTGTCATTTCACTCAAACCTCAGGGAACAAACAGGTCCCTGGTACTCATGAAAGTCTCCTGCCAGAGTGACAACCAGGCAATGTCTCTTCGTAAATCTCTCTCCCTGGCGACAGCTGTTTGTTTGTATTGAAGTGGGAACATGATAACAGAGCTATAAGTAGCCCTGTGCTTAGCTGGGCAAGGTAGGGTGTCAGAGCAACTGAACTGGATCCCAGGAGGGAGAAGCTGAGCTTCCTGGCTGCCTAGGAAGAGGGCTGGCTGGCTGGCTGGAGGACCAAGCTGGTGTGGGCAACTGGACTGACCAAGCTGCTGGAGACTACCCTGATCTTCTCATGGTGAGTAATATGACCTGGGCGCCACTTTCTGCTGGTGCAGCCGGTGGACTGATGACCAGGGGTCATAGCAGGCAGGACATGAACCACTCATCTGTACTGGCTTCTCGGCTCTTGCCCCAGAGAAGCACCTTGCAGGCATGAGGGATGAGCCGGATGAGACTGCCTGGAACAAGCCTGTGTGTGGCTAGCCCTTGGTCCAGCTCCTTCATGCTAAGAGATGCTGGGGGAAATCATTGACACCTTCCAGGCCTCGGTTCTTCACAGATGAAAGGAAGTAGTAGAGAAGATGTTCTTCTCCTTCATATTTTCCCAACATTTCCATCTGTATCTGGAGAAACTCCAGAATTTATCAAGTGTTTGAAATGTGCCAAGGAAAAAGAATTTTTTGATATATATAAAAATGATATTAATTCACTGTGTCCCAGGGGAATGGTGGCACCAACCGTGGTTACAGCAGCCACCACTAAGTTAACAAAAGTAAATGTCCAATCAGGTCTGTTCTTGGTGTGACCTTAGTAATGGACAGTGGCTCAGGTCAATGAGTGTGGCCCATTTTGCTCACCAAGATTCCCTTGTCTGAACATGCCAGCTGTCTGCATTGCTGGAGTAAGACAGAACCCAGGTGCCTTACCCAGGAGCCAGGTGCAGTTATCAGGAGCTGATGCCTGTTACCTGGTGACCCGCTCACGGGCCTCCTCAGATAGAGTAGCCACATTTTGTGTCCAAGGGGAACAACTGCAGGTCTGGTCAAGCTGAATACCCTGATCTGCTTGACAACCGGCTTTCTTATTCCATGCTAACAGTAGACACTTGGCTTTATGGAAACAACCCTGCGTGTGCCAGCCTATGAGGCCCAGGTAATGTGATTGTTTTGTTTTTTTGTTTTGTTTTTCCCTGAGATACAGCATGTCAGTAAATTCTGTCTTGGGATGAATCTATAGAAGCATATGCCCCTGTGGGCAACTGTCTCATGTATGATTGAGAAACATTGAAGAAATACCTCCCATGCTCACTCCCTGAGAAGAAAGGGACATAGGGGAGGATCAAAAAGTCCTGCCTGCCCCAGAGAACCTAAACAACAAAGAGGACCCTAAGAGAGATATACATGGATCTAATCTACAGGGGAAGTAGAAAAAAAAAGATCTTCTGAGTCAATTGGGAGCGTGAGGATCATGGGAAAGGGTAGAAGGAGAGGGGGAGGAAGGGTGGGAAGTGGAGAAAAATATATAGCTCAATAAAAACAATTTGAAAAAGAAAAAAAAAGTCCCACCTGGAATTCTAGTCCCACCTTTCAGTAGGGTACCTACCCTTTGGCCACATCTGACCTTAGTGAGTTTCTGGTTTCTCACCTGCTGAAGAGCAATAATAGTTCTGACCAATAGGTTGGCTACAAAGATTATACACGAACCAAGCATAGTACCAGGACTATGGTGAGCCCTCAGCAAATAATATTTACTCAAAAAGAGCTACCTCCCTTCAATAACAGTCATAATGATAAAATGTTGGCAGAGCTTCTCTGTGTTTCAGCATCTGCTCCCAAATAACCACACAGAAATGTCTTATTAATTATAAATGCTCGACCAATAGCTCAGGCTTGTTAATAGCTAACTCTTACAACACACACATATCTATCTATCTATCTATCTATCTATCTCCTTTATATTAACCTATATTCTGCCACATGGCATCATCTCTCTTCCTCCAGTGTCCGGCTGGCAACTCCTCTGACTCCACCCTCTTCTTCCCAGTATCCTTAGTCTAGTTTTCCCACCTAACCTTATCCTGTCCAGTTATTGGCCAGTCTGCTTCTTTATTAAACCAATCACAGTGACATATATTCACACAGTGTAAAGGAATACTCCACAATAAAAAGCCTCTGGTCCTGGGGTGCCTGGGGTTTTTAGCTCCAGGGTAACTAAACCAAGAGGAAGAGTGTCTGACTGGGACTGGTTCTTAGACCTGAGTCTTCACATGGGCACTACATTCTTTTTTTTTTTTTTTTTAGTATTTATTTATTTATTAAGTATACAATATTCTGTCTGCATATATGCCTGCAGGCCAGAAGAGGGTACCAGATCTCATTACAGGTGGTTGTGAACCACCATGTGGTTGCTGGGAATTGAACTCAGGACCTTTGGAAGAGCAGGCAATGCTCTTAACCACTGAGCCATCTCGCCAGCCCTGGGCAAAACATTCTTATTGATTAGTTTTAGCTGCTTGACACAACCTAGAATCACCTGGAAATGAGGAATTACTACATGAGGTTGGCTGCTGGCATGTCTGTGTGGGATGGTCTTGATGTTTAACTGAGGTGGGGAGACCCCCCTGAATGTGGGTGGTGCTGCTCCCTAGACAGCGAACCCTGAACCCTGAACAAAGCTCCACCAGGAGGAACTGAGAGGAGAGCAGCAAGGATCCACGTTCTCTCTCTCTCTCTCTCTCTCTCTCTCTCTCTCTCCTCTCTCTCTCCTCTTCACCGGATGTGACACTTTGACTTCTTTCCTGCCTTCCCTTCCCTTGGCTAATGGAGTGGAGCCAGGGATTGTAAACCAAATAAATTCTTCTCCTTAGCTGCTTTTAGTCAGGGTTGTTTATCATAGCAACAGAAATGAAACTAGAACATTGTGTCAAAGACCTAGGTGCTGCCTGAGTACAGGATGCAGGTCCAGATTTGGGGCTGGCGTTCATTTCTCAAGAGCAATTGCCGGCAGCATGGTTCTGGGCAAAGTGCCTAGGGGTATTTTTTCATTTTTTGCACGTCTGTCTTGTCCTCCTCAGCCTCTTCTCTGTCCCTTTAATCTTCCAGCACCAGGACCAAGCTGGCCCAGACAATTATTCCACTCTTCCCTGCAAACCCTCCTCTACTCTTTCTCCTAGCTTCTCTGTTCCAGGCCAGGCCCTCTGTGTCCTCACCAGTTAAACGCCTGGCACTTTATACCCTAGCAGCCCCCGTAAGCAGTTAGCAGTGTATCCGGAGACCTCTAGACTACTGAAGCCAGTGAGATCAGATGTCCGATCTGCCCCACTCTGAGCCCTGCAGGTCTTCTCTACGGCTTTTTTTTTCTTTTAAAATCATTCTTTGGCTTTTTTTTCCCAAGTGTCTTCAAATTTCTTCTTTTGATGGATTCCAAATTCTGTTTGTATGTTGAGCTCATAAGGTCCAGTGCTGGGGATATGGCCATATTTGGAAACACAGTCCTGAAGAGGGGATCATAGTAAAATGTGGCCATACTGGTAGGCCTTAATCCACAACTTGACTGATATTCTCATAAGCAGCAACTGAGAGACGATCATAGAAAGGCATTCGAAGAGGACAGACGTCTCCAGGGCCGAGAGAGGCATCCCAAGCAAGGCACCCGTACCAAGAGAGGGTAATGCACTGCTGTGTTTACCTCTCCATCCATGGCGTTCCCTACGTTCGCCTCAGTCACTCAGCCATGGTTCTCTGCCCAGAGCTGACCCTTCATGGCTCTGGGCCCTGAACCCACTCACATTCTTGGAGAAATCTTGGACACTCACACCTTTTGAGTATGAGCTGTAGAGCTGGGGGTCAGTGACAAGAATCATGTCACCGAAATACATGGAACCGAAAACTGGGCGCTGCGCATGGCCCCCTCTTCAGAGCCCTGTGTACCTCAGAGCTGGCTAGTTTCATGTTTCCCCCTTCCTTCAGGAGCAGTCTCCCTCTCCTTCCACTTCCCGTTGTCTAGCTTTCACTGGGTTTTATGTCTGTTCAAGATCCCCTTCTTCATCCGCCACTGCTCATCCAAGACCTTTGCTTCATAGGGTTTTTCTCTAGCCTAGAAAAAAATCCCGTGATTTAAGAGTTCTTTTTCCCATTTCTCTAAACCTTGCCATTTGATAAACACAACAGAAACAATCTTCAAACCTTTCCCCCTCACTGCCAGAATTCCTACCCCGCCCCAACTATACATCACACAGAACCCCAAATGTGAAACTCAGCTTTACAAGAACTCTAGGCAGGCATGGCAGTGTGCACCTTTGATGCCAGTGCTTGGAAGGTGGAGGCGGAAGAATCAGGAGTTCAAGGCCAGCCTGGGCTACATAACCACCCGGGACTACAGATCTCAAAAACTCAAGGAAACAGTTGTGATGAAATTCAGGTAACATAAATTTACATATTTAATTTTTAAACAAGCAACTCAGTAACCGTCTGTATGCATACTGTTCCAGGGTGTCACTGGGAGAGTTGCTACCTCTAATTCTAGAACCCTTTTTTTAAAAATTATTTGTGTTTTACCTGTGTGTATGTCTGTGTGATAGTGTTGGATCCTGGAGTTACAGACAGTTGTGAGCCTTCATTTGGGTGCTGGGAATTGAACCTGGGTCCTTTGGAAGAGCAGTCGGTGCTCTTAATCACTGAACCATCTCTCCAGCCCCTCTAGAATACTTTTATCACACCAAAATAAATCCCTGCACCCAACCATTCAGCTGTTCTAGTCTTTCCCTAGCTCCTGGGAACCACAACTTTTCTTTCTGTCCCTGTGGATTTGTCAGTTCTGTCAGGACAAATGGAGTCACCTGATGTGTGGCCTATTATGTCTGTCTCAACACTTTGGACACTTACCAGAGTGGTATCATGAACCAATGCTTTCTTTTTATGGCTGAATAATATTCCATTGTGCAGTTAGAAAGTTGGTGATCTGGGCACATGCCCACACATACACAATTCTGCTCTATTCAAATGCAAAGTGGACTTGAGCTCTTTTGCCCTCAGTTTTCCCCAAGAGGAGCCTTAAACACCTCCAGGGAGTGTGTAGTGTTTGCCTGGTACCCAGGGATCCTTGAACAAAATGCTGATTTGTTTCCCTGAATGGGTTCTGTCTGGTCACAGGGTCAGAGCCTTCTGGAGGTACTTTCTTTCACTGGAAGTAAAAAGTGAAGGAATCATGGGAGAAGAAGCCAATGGGCGGGAGAATATTTGTCTGGGTGCCTGGGGCTCTATTAGGTCTGCAGGTCTCCTTCACCCCAGAGGGCAGGCGGCCTGCCTATCAGCAAATCCAGTCACACAGTACTTTTTTTTTTTTTTTAATGACTTCACTAGTTGAAACGCAAGCCACGCCTGGCTAAGTTCATTCTGCACACACCAACCGTGCCAGACTGCCACGTCATCTGCTTTCCACGAGTTTTCTGTCTTCCCGTAGTATCTGCGGTGGAATTTCCCCAGGTGCACACAAGAAGCTCTGTGAACACGTGACTTCTTTCTAGAAAGAGATCTGTTCCCTGATCTCGGGCACCAAAGCAAGCAAGGCTAGGCGTGACCAATGAGAGGGCAGGGGCAGCTTTGGTTAGAATAAGCCGGCTCTGAAAGGAGCCTCTGCTAACGTCACCAAGGGGAAAATGCTTGGCGGAGAGGCCCTGGGAGGGACCAGCTGGGAGGTGCAGAGTCCCAGGCAGGAAGGTGCGGAGTCCCAGGCAGGAAGGCTTGGATAAGCTCAGCCACAGTCCAGGTATGAAGCCAGCTGGTCTGTCTGTGACAGCACCTGGGTGGGGAACGGTCGTTTGTCCAACTGGAGCAGGGCGCAGCTTAGACCTCACTGGTTTTTGAAAGGATCAGGAGAAAGTCCAGTTGTTGAAAAGCAAACTTTCTGTGGGCTGAAACCTCCAAAGTTCAGACTATCCCCGAAGGTAAGTGGAAGCAGAGGTAGGGCACCTGCCTTTCTGGCCTGGGGCAGCTGAAGGATGCCTGTCCTGTAGTCCCCAGAGGAGGGCTCTGATGTGACTCCGCCGTCTTCTTCGCCATCTCAGAGTCACGCTGTGTCAGAAGTTTTGCCGCTTGCTTTTGCCTGTTCAAAAGCCAGCTCAGCACTTGGAAGGTGGAGGCAGGAGGATTGGGCCATCCTTAGCAACACTGAGTTTGAGACTTTGGGGGGAAAAAGCTTATGGTTTTTAATAAAATTATTAAATTTATTTAGTGAATGAGTATCAAAAATTAATATTATACCTGGGCATGGTGGTGTATGCCTTTAATTCCAGAAACAAGCAAATCTCTGCAAGTTTATGGCCAGCCTGGTCTACATAGTGAGTTCCAGGACAGCTAGTGATGTGTAGAGAGACCTACAGGTCTCCTTCACCCCAGAGGGCAGGCGGCCTGCCTATCAGCAAATCCAGTCACACAGTACCTTTTTTTATGACTTCACTAGTTGAAAGGCTAAAAAGGAAAAAATTAAAATTACAATGGACCATGTGAAATTTAATGTCATATATTTTAGCCTGGTACATACAAGGAACTTAACAACTGATTAAGGAATATTGATTCTAGCAACATTATTTGCTTATGAGGAATCTTTTAGAATGAACAAAAGGAAAATAAATGGTACAGATCAATTTTAAATAAATGACTTTTTTCATTCTACAACTTTTAGTATGTGGGGTGAATATTCAAAACAAATTGTCTAAAGCTATTGTTAAACTGTATTCTCTTAATTTAAAAGTTAGGAACAAGAGTCTTGTGCGTGAGGGTGACATTATTTCCATTTCATCAGTTTTGAGGTATTTTATTTTTTCAGTACTGGGATTGGACCAAAGTCTTGTGTATTCTAGACAAGGACTTCCTCGCTGAGCCGCATTCCCAGGTTCATTTAATTGGGCCTGCTCATAATACTTATATTTTATTGATCCGCGATTGTTCAGTACACATAGCATGGACAGGTTACTCCATCAATGCTGGTTGAATAACTAAGCAAACCAATTGGCTAATTTTAAGTTGTGTTTTTAAATTAATTCATTTTAATTTGTATGTATGTGCGCACATGCACACAACCATGCCGGGAGTCGGGAGTCAGACTCTTGCTGTAGCTCACTTGCAGAGGTCAGAGGGCAACTTTCAGGAATCCTCACCACCTACTAATCAAGGCCAACAAGGTCTGCTTTCTGGGCTGCGTCCTCCAGGCCTGCAAACTCCCTGCCATTCTTCTGCCTCTGCCTCCCATCTTGCGGTAGGAATGGTGGGATTACAAATGCAGACAACCCCATCTGGCTTCCTACTTGGCTTTTGGGGTTTGAACTCTGGTCCTCCACACTGCTTGAGATTGGTGTTCTCCGAGGCACTGGCTTTAAAATGCATCTGATTTTTTTCCCCCTCAAAGTTTCTGTGGTTTAATTTTTCCATGAAGAAAATAAAGGGAAGGTGCCAGCTTGGTCCCTGAATTCTAGTGAGTGATACCAGGCAAAGGGCAGGGCCTCTCTGTGCAGGGCACATTTTAGCTGGGAGGATTGTCAGAATTGTCCCTGAATGCCCCACAGCATGGTTCTGTTAGTCTCGGCAGCTTCATAAGAGTATTTATTCCTAGCCTGGCCCCGAGATCCCTATTTTCCTCATCAAGGAGCCCGCTCTGCTTTCTTTAAAGACATACACAGAAGTGAAGCTGAGTTCATGAGCCAAGTGTTCAGAGGGAAGAACAACAGCAACCCAACCATGTTGTGGGAGAGAAGTAGATTTCCCACCTCCTAATGTTTGGCAGCGGGCTGCACTGTCCTCCACAGCGAGAAAACAGCCGCACTGACTTTCCAAATTGTGTACAATTGGAAACAGAAAATCCTCCTGGGAGCGGGGTTCCCCAGGCTTCCTGGCATTAGGGGGAGCCTTTTGTCACTCGTTTGTGTATGTGCATATGTGTGCACGCTGGCGTTAATTCAGACTCAGGAACAAACTTGCCTGTCAGAAGCTGCTGCCAAGCCTGGGTGGGGAGTGAAAGCGGCAGCCCGCGCTGGGAAAGAAGTCTGGGTGGCATGTTGCAAAAGAGAACCCAAAGTGATTTTCCATGATGTGGCTGAAGAGATAAACATTTACCATCGTCTGGCTCTGAGTCTGGGGAGATGCGCAGAAGAGAGAGAGACCTCAGCTCTCCTCCCACTTCCCAGTTGTTTATGCCCTTTCATTTTTTCCAGTCGCTCTGACACCCTTCTGAGGGACGCTGGGCACCCCGAGTCACCATGGGCAACGAGAACAGCACCTCGGACCACCAGGTGGGTTCAGGAAGCTTCTCTGCCTCCTGCTGCGCAGCTCTCTTGATTACACTGGCCCCCCAACATCTGTGTCCAGCGAGAGGCAAGGGAAGACACAGCCCCCTGGACCCGTGTGATGTGTTTGTACCTGTGGGGCCATTTCGTCACCACATCCTCAGCTGTCCTTTAGCACGACAGCTGGCCCCACTTCACAAGTCATGACCACTACTGTTTATCCTGTGCTTTTAAAATTGATGTCATGAGAGCTGAGCGCATTTTATCCCGATTGCATCTACTCAGCAGCTCCCATGGACACGGCACATGTTTGAATGCAGAGCTGATTTAAACCCCCCCCCCAAAAAAAAGGTGTTTTCAAGTCAGAAAAGGCTTTCACAGTCGAAGAATGAACTTTTGACTATTTTATTGAATAGTACATATCCAAATGTTGCCATTATCCATTTTGAGAATATTAGCTTAATGCCCTGGTGAACAAAGTCAGAGACTTTCTCATTGACTCCCACAGTGCGAACATTTTGGATTAATGGTTATGGGCCTCTTTGATTGAAGTCATCGGATTTAAAAAGCAGCCTGGGGCTGGGAAATATTTTTGTTGTTGGAAGTGTGTACTACCCAAGTATGTGAACCTGAGTTCAACCCTGCAGAACCTACACATAAAGCCAGGTTCAGTGGCATGCAGGTTTAATCCCAGCACTGGTGAGGTAGAGACAGGAGGATTCCCTGGAGCTCACTAGCCAGCCAACTTGGTAGGATGGAAAAGTTTCAGTTTCAGTGAGAGACCCTGTCTCAAAAACCAAAGTGGATGGTACCTGAGGAATGACGTTCAGAACTGAGTACCCTGCACACACCTGAGTGCGCACGCACGCGCGCGCACACACACACACTTAAAAATAAACACAAGGCAATCTATTGCCAATTGTTTTCTCACTTCCTCTTCAACAGTCTTTTCTCAGTCAGGGAAATAACGTGAAAAGAAAAAAGTGTCGAACGAGGGATTTTAGAGGACAGGCAAGAAGCAATGACTGTGGGTGTGAGACTCTAGGGAGTGGCAAGAACTGTGGCAGACGGGGTCTGACCTAATGGAGGCGGCCACTACCCACTCCAGCCGACTGTGGTCGTGGGCAAAAGTGGGCCCAGAGCAGCAGGATTTTATTTGTTCCAAAGAAGTCAGAAGACTATGGTTATCGACAAAGTCTTTAGTGTTGTTTTTTTAATGCATTTTATTTATTTAGTGCGCGTGTCTGTTTGTGTGTCTGTGTGGAGGCACACACATGTCACAGCACATGTGGGGAGGTCAAAGGACACCTAATGGGAGTCAGTTCTCTCCTTCTACCATGTGGGTCCTGGAGACCAAACTCAGGCCTTTCTTCAAACTTAGCAAGTGTCCTTGCTTACTGAGCCATCTTGTTGGCTCTTACATTTCCCTTTAGTTTTTTTAATTTAAGATAATGATACATCTATATATAGTCAAAAAACACAGAGAGAGCTTAAAGGGTGGCATCTTACAAAATTATTCTATAGTTTCACAGTCTAGACATTGAGATGCCAAGGTCAAAGAGCCCTTCCATAGCCAGATTCTTCTTTTTGCCCCTTATAGCCACACCTAATTCTCTCCTGTCTACCACCCGTAACTCTGGCTACTGACAATAGTACAGTTTTATTATTTCAGGAATATTATAGAAAGAAGGTCTGTGATAGTCTGAATGAAATTGGCCCTCATAATCTCACAGGAAGTGGCACTATTAGGAGGTATGACTTAATTGGAGTAGGTATGCCTTGTTGGAAGAAGTGTATCCCTATGGGGACAGCAGGCTTTGAGGTTTCCTATGCTCAAGATACCACCCAATGTAGAAGACCACTTCCTGTTGCCTTCCAGCCAACATGTAACAGTTCCTTATCCAGTGCCATGTCTGCCTTCACACTGCCATGCTCCCCACCATGATGATAATGAACTAAAACCTTTGAAGCTGTAAGCTGCCACCTCAATTACATGTTTTCCTTTATAAGACTTGCCATAGTCATGGTGTCTCTTCACAGCAATAGAAACCCTAGCTAGGACAGGGTCAGACAGCATGTTATCTTTTAGAACTGACTTTTTTCAGTGGGCAGAATGCTCTTGACATATGTCCACACTGCTGTGCAGCAAAGTCTGTTCCCTGTCACTATGGAGTTGTTCCATGGAGGTGCAATACACTTTTCAGGTCATTTCCCCATCAAAGCATGTCTGCTTTGCTTCTAGTTTTTAGCTATTCCAAATGAAGTTGTCATGTGCATTTATGTACAGGCACAAATGCACAAGCACACACTCAAGTGTGTGGTGTGTGCATGTGTGTGTTTGTGTATATTCATTTTCATTTCTCCAAGATAAGTACCCAAGTGTTCAATTTTTGGCTCCTATAATGATTGTATGCTTAGTTTCATTGTCAAACTGTTTCCCAGTCTCTGTGGTCCCCAGTCACCATGTTTCCTGGTCACTATGCCTTCTTCCCTTCTTCCCACAATACACTATAAAAGATCAGTTTCCCTGCATCTGAGAAGCATCAGTAGAACTCTCTTAGAATTCCTTGCTCTGATCTGCAGGAGGTGGGAATCAGTCACTGAAGACACAATGCATGCTATACAGGCCACTATCCACGAGTCACTTAGCAGTCTCAGGTTCCAGACCAACTGTACTGTAATGTTTGTCTTCAAGCTACCTGTCCACAGCAGCCCAGATCTACATCTCAGTGCCCACCATGCATCTTATCTCTCTCCCATCATCCCATAGGCAATCTTACACTATCTTACAGGGTGCACACAGCACAATAAGATGTTTGAGGCCGGTTGCTGGGGAGATGGCTCAGTGGTTAAGAGCACCTGGCTGCTCTTCCAATAGGACCCGGGTTCAATACCCAGCACCCACATGGCAGTTCACAACTGTCTGTAACTCCAGTTCCGGGGGATCTGACACCCCCCATAAATGCACATGAAATAAAAATAAATATTAAAAAAAATTGAGGCCTGGAGAGAGGCGAAGAACACTTGCTGCTCTTACAGAGGATGAGAACTTAGTTCCCAGCACCCGTGTCAAGTGGTTTACAAATGCCTTGTAATTCCATCTTCAGGGTATCCCAGTGCCCTCTTCTGGCTTCTTTGGACATCTGCACCCACATTCACAGATAGAGACATACAGACACACACATACACACTCACATACACATACATACAAGTAAATTTTTAAAAAGATACTTGAAGGAGAAAAATAAATCAGTCATAACATTTACTGCAATATACTGTCTTTTTTTTATTAGTTATCGTTGTTATTTTCTTAGTTGAGCACTTTGAAAGCAAACTTCATCAGAGGTCTGTATAGACAGCAAAAGCAGACTCAGTGCAGGTACAGAGCTGCCCACCATTTCTTCCCACCTGTGGCCTCCTGCTCTAGGAGGGAATGTGGATAAGAGACAACAAATCTCTTTGGTAAAATATCTTTTGCTCATTTTCTGTTATTATCATTAGTGTTGTATTTTGGGAGTTCTTTACATAGTCTAGAAGTCAGACTGTAATTTGTAGATGACTTCTTGCCCTGCAACTTATCTTTCCATCCTCTGAATAATGTCTTGTGTAAAACAGAGTATTTTAATGTTAGTGAGGTAGAGTACATTCATTTTTCTTATGGATACTTCTACTGTTAAATCTGCCTAGCTCCACTTCCTGGAGATTTTATTTTTTCCTAAAATCTTTAAAGTTTGACATTTTATATTTAAGTCCGTGATCCATGAATTAACTTTTATATGGTACAAGATCTAGGTTTGAGGCTCATCTGTTTTTTTCTTCTTTCCTGTCTGTCTGTCTCTGTCTATCTCTCTGTTCTCTGTCTCTCTTTCTCTCTGTTCTCTGTCTCTCTGTCTCTATCTCTATCTCTGTCTCTGTCTGTCTCTCTGCCCGTCTCTCTCTCTCACACACACATACACACACACAGTTAACAGGGTCTCACATACCCAGGCTGGCCTCGAGCTCCCTATGTTGCTGAGGTTGGCCTTGAACTCTTGATCTTCCTGTCTTCACTTTCCAAGCGCGACAATTACAGGTCTGCACCACCACACCTGACTTTTGATCTCTTTTCCTAGGTTAATTTTCGTTTCATAGTCATCCTCATTATGAGCTTCCTCCACCACAGTGGTGCATTTGATAGAACTGACGCAGACTCAAATTGACACATTTTATCCCTCACTGTCCATACATTATGTGAAGATTCATTCATTCTTGATGGCATGCATTCTGCACACTTTGACATACGTAATCACATGCAGTTTACACAACAGTATCCTGTTCCTAAAATCCTCTATGCTTGACTTCTCCCCATCCTTCAGGCCCTGACAACCACAGCTCTTCAGTGTGTGTGTGTGTGTGTGTGTGTGTGTCTGTGTGTGTGTCTGTGTGTGTGAGTCCATGTGCCACAGGACGCCTCTGTGGAGTCAGTTCACACCTTCCACCATTGTATGGATTCTGTGGATAGAATCCAGGCTGCCAGGCATGCATGACAGGTATCTTTACCTCAGAGCCATCTTGCCGGTCCAACCACAGATCTCTGTATTGTTTCTCCACAATGTCTTATGATTAGAATTACTTAGTGTGCAGTCTTTTCTGATCAACTTCTTTGATTTAGCAAAATCTATCTGAAACTCCTCTTTCTTTTTGTGGATTGATAGTTCATCTTTTTTTTTTCCCTGAATAACATCCTATTTTCTAGATATAGTTTGCTTAACTACCCAGCACTATCCTGGATGCTCCCAAGTGTTGCACAAAAATGCAGTGGATATCCATGTTTATGTCTTGTGTGAACATAAGCTGTAGCCCTCTTTGAGTAGATATGAAGGGATGTGGTTGCCCTATCCTGTGGTAAGGGAAGGTTTAGCTTTGTAAGAACCCATCCAGCTACCTGCTCCGATTGTTCCTCCATCTCACGTTCCTCCTGTTGACAAATGGACTTCCTCTTGGTTCCCATCCTCCCCAGGGCTGAG